ATCCGTTCGACACCCCGTGATCATACAGGTTGATATGTTGTTCGATTTCTTCACCTTTATAGTGCAGTTAATAATAGTCCCTATCTCATAGAATTGTTTTGAGGATTAACTGGTAAATAAATGCATCCTGCAACCTTTGTCCCACAACCTTATCTAGATTTTTTTCAAAATGCGTCTGTTTTACTTGAACTTATATGTGTATGTTTATTTGTATATGGTTCCAACCAATTTTAGCAATATGGGGGGGGAAAACGGGGAAATTCCTTTGATAACCACACCCACCTCCTCCTCAGCCTTCATCTTTTCAACTTTCTTTCCCCCAACCTTCATCTTTGACTCCTTGAAAGCACTAACCTTTACTCAATTTCTATAATTTTTTTCGCTTCATAATTAGTATAAATTAAATGACCTAGCATGTAAACTTTGGCGACTGGCTATTTTCACTTAGTGTTAATACCTTGAGAATCATCTAAGGTGTTGCTTGTAACGTATTCATTTTTTATGGTTTACTATCATGTGAACTTTCAAACATATCAATTTCTTTTTCTGCAACTTTGATGAGATCTTAGTTCTTAGAAACTATCAAATGTATGTGCATGTGCAGATGTGTGATATGTGAATATGAATGATTATATCTTGATTTTACAACCAATGGATCTGAGCGGTCCCACTCACGAGGACTTCTTGAGGACACAGCCACCCGAGGCCAAACCGCACAAACGTGGGCCTGCACCATCGCACAGTTGTTGTTATGTTTGAAGTCGCTGTTGCAGCCGCTGCGCCCGTCCATCTGTTTGAGGGCTTTCCTCTTTTGCATGGACCCCGGACTTTATGAAGCATGATGCCCTTCTCCAGGAACCGGCCCCTCCTGGTAACATGTTCAAAGCACTGAGACAGAGTCTCGCTGTCCATGCTTCCACGGGGCATTTTGGCTGTCCTTCTTCCAAGACAGATTTATTCATGTCTGTGGTACATTCAACATTCTTCACCAGCACCATAATTCAAAGACCTTCTTTCATCTTCCGTGTTGATTGTCTAGTTTAGGCATGCATAGAAGGCCATTGAAAGTGCCATGGTTTGGGTCAGGCGCACTTTTGTTCTCAAAGTGACATCTTTGCCCATAAACATTTTAGAGAGGCCTCGACAGCAGATTTGCATAATGTAATATAAATCGCTTAATTTCTTGACTGCTGCTTCCATGAGTGACTTCTGTGGATCCAAGTAAGTTGAAATATTTGATAACTCAATATTTTCTCCACTTATCATGATGTTTATTAATCCAGTTGTGAGGACTTCTATTTTCTTTACATTGAGGAGTTATCCATACTGAAGGTTGTAGTTTTTGATCTTCATCATTTATTAGTTCAAGTCCTCTCTGCTTAGGTCATCTGCATGTCACGGGTTGCTAATGACTCCTTTTCCAATCCTAATGATCTCAAACTCTCACCCACTGCCATGGCAACGGCTTTGATTCATAGTGACCCTATAGGACAGGCTAGAACTGCTCTTCTGGATTTCTGAGACCACAACTCTCTACAGGAGCAGAAAACCTCCTCTTTCTCTTACAGAGCAGCTGGTGATTTTGAACTGCTGACCTTGCAGTTTGCAGCCCAATGCATAGCCACTGGGGTTCGAGAAATTCCTAGAAATGTGGCTATGACACCATAGAAATAGAAATTTTACATTGAGCTTAATACCAAATGAAAATCGTTATGACACTTTTATTCTTAAAAGTAAATCTTAGTTTTTCCATAAAGGAATATTGTCAAGAAAATTAAACTGAAGAAGTATAGTTGATAATATCTTGTAACCCCCATATGGCTTTATGGACACGCATACGCCATGGGATTCACTGTATACTCTTTCAGAGTGCCGTGTTTCTCTTGCGTTTTGTTTTATAATTACCTGATTTCAGATGTTATTTTGCCCTGAATAAAACTCAGTAGGTTACCTTGTGACTGATACATGAATCCCATCAGGACGCGTGACTCTTTTAGATCAAGAGAAAGGCATCCGTTGTGTTAAAGCATGCAGTAGGAACATCAGTGTGTTTGTATCCATTCCCATGACTCTAAGTCCCACAGGGTCCACATGGAGAACACAGAGCTTGAGGAACTGGGCCGTTTGTCGCACACGTTGAACAATCACCCTGCTCTGTCCTTAGGGACATGTGGCCTCATTTCTGCTCGTTGTTCAAGCCAGGTAAAGAGTGGCCTGGGTTTTGCCTTCTTGACTTATCTAGCAAGTCATACAGCCATGAGAAAGGCCCATGGAAGATGATCATTTCTCCACAATCACTCCTTAGTCTTAGTGTGACTTAAGACCACATCTCGGTTATGGGAGCATGCGTGTCAGTGTACACTCATTTCTGCGTGTGCATATGGATGTATGTAGATATGTAACATCCTGCCTGCTGTGCTGACTTTATGTGCAGATGGAGGTGCAGTGTCCTCCGGGTGTAACCATCGGCTATGTCAAGGAACGCTGGAACTTGTGCAGGGCAGTGTACAGCATACAGAACGAGAAGAAGGAGAATGTGATGGGAGTGCGTGGGCCGTGCTCAACCTATGGCTGTGGTTCGGATTCTGTTTTTGAGGTAATTTAATCTTAGCCTGGGAACCAGGACTACCCCGCAGGGTTGGCTGCTACCTGGATGGGCAGTGCTAGAACTCACTAGCTGCCCCACGAGAGACGGGTGTGGCGGTGTGCGTCTATAAAGGTTGAGGGCCTCAGAAACCCTGTGGGGCAGAGTTTGACTCAACAGTCGAATTTTGTCTTGTCTTTAATCTCAATCTAGTATTTTTTTAACATATATGAAGAGACCTCAGAATGATTCAAATTTCTATTACTTTTTTCCCCATATGAATGAAATGTGGTTTAGAAAGTCACTTATAAAATGGTAAAATAGCATAAGGAATTAGAACAAGTCGATATCAAAAGATCTTCACGTTACCATTAGTGGATTGCTTACTTTCTTCCAAATGTGACATTCTTTGCCATCTCATTGCTGGATAAAGATCAAAAGAGCAAGTGACAATTTAAAACATTAAATCTGCTAAGAGTAAGTAGCTTGACATTTTCTTTCACTTATACTTGGCTGCAGTTAATTAATATTTTTTTCCAAATATTTTGAGGTTGGTAATATTAGTACTGAATTGTCAAACTGCTCGATACTGAACTGAAGATTATGTGAATTACTTATTTGTAGGCTAGAAGCCTCACTGTTTCCTCGGGAATAGAACAGCTCTGAAACTCACAAAAGATCACATTAGAGTATTTTCTAAAAAAAGTGAAAAGAAAGTGCTTCCATTGCGCCTTTATCCGAGTCCCTACAAAATGATGCTTTATTCCTCATTCGAATCTGGCAAAGGCTCTATCTGGGAATATTTTCCACACCAATTAAAGAGCCCTTTCTGGATGTCTTGTATTCCATTCGAAGCTTACCGTGTACTACAATGCCACCCCACTCTAAAGGAAGAACTCCCAGCAAGTCGATTCCAGTTCTCGGTGCGCCCAGGGGTTACAGCGTAGAACAGCTCCATAGGGGTGTTTTGTGCCTGTATTTTCTACAGAAACAGTTCAGTAGGCGTCTCCCCCCACTCCCCCTCATGGTTTCCCTAGGTAAGTTCAAATCTCCAACCTACAGGTCCTCAGTAGCCAGTCACAAACTATTTCTGCCAGCCAAGTTCTTTAGGTGTTGCTCATTTAATAAAAAGCCATTGTACAGAGATCAAAAATGCAAATAAGCCAAATGGTGGGAGGCTCATACACCCCACCATATGCCACTGGGCTAGTTTGGCATGCGGGCAATGGCACTGTGGCAGTGCCAGGGTTCTGGTTTAGAAGCTGTCCTATTTGGGGTCCTGGGATACCTTAAAGGAGATGGTGAATGTAGCCACCAAAAGCCTGGAGTTTGCGATCTCTAGTGGCTGGAATGGAAGACTCCCTCAGAGCCCCAACCCTTTGCTATATCAAATAGAAGTAAAGAATGAATTCAAAACAGTCGTCCTCCAGCAGGCCCCTGAGTGATGCATTTTAAGGATGAAAAATGTCATTGGTGTGAAAGTTTCAAGAAATATACACCTCTTCATGTCACTCGCACTGGTGTCACCCAGTATGGTCATTCTTGGAGTCACACTCCCCTCCATGCACTTATCAGATCTTAGAGGATCCTTAGCAATGTTTACTATCAATTCTAATCACAGGACAGTATGGGATAAGTATAATTGTAAATAGTTTATGTGTCATATTTCTTAGATTACATGACTATAAATGCAAAATTGCTTTGAAACACTTTTATCACAGAATTATATTATTAGGACTAAAGACTTTACTTTTCTCTCCTCCTTTTTCTTTAATTACTTGCTACTTTTTTTTCCTCAAAAAAATTGTTACACACTCAAAGATAACACTTCCTGCATTATTACAGCTAAACCACCAGAAAAATTAACAAAATCAACAACTACAGAAAAACACCTGTAGCAACAACAACCTCTGCACGTGCCTGCGGAATCGCAAGAGGAAATCGCAGGGTTCAAAGTATCTGCGTAATGGGCTCATCAGGACAGCTCTAACTAGAGTGTTCAAAAGGAAATTAACTTTGACACTGCACACAACAAATTTTAGTGTTTTAAATTTGCATTTCTTTTTTTCCAAAACTATTTTATTGGGAGTTACTATTAATACAGTTATTATCAATCCATAGCTCAATCATATCAAGTAGTATTATACAATTGTTACCCCAACCAGTTTCAAAAATTCTTTTCCTTCTTGAACTCCTTGATATCAGCTCCCTTTTACCATCCTCATTCCGCCCCGAAACCACCTAATAACCCCTTTTCTACTTGCTGTCCCTGGTTCATCAATCCTGGTCTTCAGATACTGGAAAACAAACATATAACAAAAAAAAGAGGGTCACTCTAAATGACTAAACACATCTGAGATAAGCTCTAATATGAACTAAAAAAAAAACCACAGAAATTTGTGAAAACCAGATCAGGCCTAACGTGCACCAGAGGGGGGATCAACTGACAAGGTTTTAACTGTTCACATCGGGTTGATCATTTGCACCCTCTATACTCCTCTCTCCATAGCACTCTGGTAACCCCTTTCCTCCAATCCCTCTATTATGGATCAAGGAAAATCCCCAGAGGCTTATTTCCTATGTAGAGCTCGCAAATGCATCTTGGGCCCCCTTGTCATCTAGCGCCTTCCGCAAAACAGATTCTCACTGGTGAAGAAACTAGATGGTGCCCAGATAAAATAACATCTGGGGGGTCTTAAAAGCTTGTTTCCAAACAAGCAGCCATCTAAGAGAGATGTCAACTAAGTCCTCATGGAAGAAGCACACCAACATCAGAGACTGGCGGATTATAAATAATATAATCTGAAGTCAAAGGACGGACTAGTATCAGAGCCTAAACTGTACAAAACTTTTTATGCACAGTCGCTTTAGTATGACTCAAAACTGAGGTCTGCAAAGCAACACCACCTCTGTGGTGCCCCTGCATTTACCCAGCTCAGGAGGGAACCACCAGGAGGGTAGCAGGCTGCCCATTGGGCTGCTATCACCAGGTCAGCAGTCGAAACCACTCACCACTTCTCAGGAGAAAGATGAGACTTTCCACTCGTATGAAGATGAGAGTTCCAGTCTCGGAACCCCACAGGGGCAATTCTTCCCTGTCCTATGTGGTGACTGAGTCAGAAAAGAGCTGGTGACAGTGAGTTTGATTTGAAAGGTACTCTTCTTGGCCATAACTTAATTTGTCAATTGGAATTATGTAATAATGTACCCTTTCACTGTGGTTATACTATTTGCATGTTGCCTAGAAGGAAGACCCCAGTGTGTTTCAACGACTTTCAATCTTCATAACCTCACATTCTTGTCTTTGTAGATCAAATCTCTCGATGGTGTGTCTAACATCGGAAATATTATTAGAAAGTGGAATGGCCTGATATCAGCAATGGCAGACGCAGACCAATTTGACATTAACTTCCCCTTAGACCTGGATGTAAAGATGAAAGCTATGATCTTTGGCGCTTGCTTCCTCATTGTAAGCTTTTCGCTTTTGGTTTATCCTAAAAGTTTTGTTCTTTCTGATGAGAAGCAACTTAGGGTCATGGAAAGAGAATGACCTTTGGAGCTACAATACCTCCTGGCTGTGCCACCTCCACCTGATGTGACTGTGCCACATGCTCCGTGTACAAACCTCAGGCCCCTTGTTTGTGAACTGGGTAGAAAAACATCTCTTGTTCAGAGTTACGAATATTACTGCCCTGTATGTAAAATGGCCAGCAGAGTGCTTGGAACATGTTAGCCTCTACAGGGGTTAAGTGTCATCAGTGCACACTACTTATCAGGCTCAATATTCAAGATGACCGATGCTAGGATTTCTGAATGAAAGAAAGTGAGTCAAAAGCTGGCTTCCTTTTCCTCCCTCCTTACTGCCCTGCCATTAGCGGACGATCCTTAAACTTGCTAGCACTCCATTGCCTTTCCTGGATTATATAACACATCTATGGATTATATAAGTAACATTGATAATACTTATTTTAATAATCGAATCAAAATATAACTATTGGTAAATTTAAAATATTTAAAACATAATTATCAAGTTCTTTCCCTTAGTATTAACATTTTAGCAAATTGGTGTCTAAAATGGAAAGTTTGTTGACTACCATCAGTTCCAAGTCTGTAATTACTGCTCCACATTTTAGATTCTCCATAAAGGTTTCTGTAGATGGATTTATGCTTAACTTGAATCCAAAATTGCTTGATAAAAGGATAATATTCTGAGTACTCTTTTCAAATTTGATACAATGAAGTACTTGTCATTATTTCTGCTTTATAAATTGTTCACAGATAAATTGCACCCACTTGAAAGTTATAGAAACTGACTTAAAACTTGCTAAAATACATTTCAGTGTCATATATTCATTTATTAAAAAAACCCACCACATTCTCATTTTTCTAAAAATAATTTAGTAATTATTTAAATGTACTTACTCTTTAAAAATGATTTCATTCTAATCTTGTTCTCCTGTAAAAAATATTACTGTTAATAAAATCAAATAGAAATTTTCTTATTAGATACCTAATAATTGATCAATATTATATATACATTATTATTGTTTTTTCACTTCCAGGACTTCATGTATTTTGAGAGGTCTCCACAACGGAATTCAAGAAGATAAAGGACACAGCAAAATCAAAATTATGATTAATTAAAAAAAAGTTGTTTTACTTGGAAGAGTTTACAGTTAACCCTCAGTTATTTGCAAGTGAATTTTTGTGCTTTGTGGGTTATTTTATACGATGTTAGCTTTGACAAATGGGTTAAGAGTACGAGAATAAGAAGGTAAATTCAATGTTGAGCATCCATCTGTTTGGTAGGCAGGCATACACCCTGAAAATGCTGTTGCTCATTAACTACATGAACGAAGTCACAATAGGCCTGAACACACAAAAAGCAGAAGATATGGGAAAGTGAGTCCTAAAGCTTTTACACTAATAAATAATGGGAAAAGAATGGCTCTCTTGAGCCTCTTTGTGGGGAAAAAAATTAGTGTGGTACCCATCTACAGCCACCTCCTACCCTCTCCTGTCCATCAACATGTCCTTTACTGAAGACATTACTGTCACTGCAGACCAATCTGACCCTGGATGAAGAGAATGAAGCCCAGAACTCACTGCCATTGAGTTGATTCTGATCCATAGCGACCCTCGGTAGGGTCCCCAAGGCTATCAGTCTTGATGGGAACAACAGACAGCTTCCTCTTCTCGTGGTTGGTGGATGCATTTGAAGCAGCAACCCCATACTTTAATAGCACTGTGAGGGCTCCTTTAAGGATGACAGAAATACTATATATTTTTTACTGTACAAGGAAAATTTTACTTGGACTCAGTATATGAAAATTTCATTTTGCAAAACTTATAAAGTTTGGTTCCATTACAAAATAAATCATGTCTCTTTGGTATAAGGTTTATATTGACAGTGTATGTATTCTCATTCATTATCAAAGACAATCAGGCTCTGTGTATGTATAAAAACAGGATCAGACTGGCAGGAAACGAGTTGACAAAGTTTCAATCCAGCTAGATAGTGCCCTGATCAGAGACTTGCAATGAATACAACACTTAACTCTCTTGGTCAGAGATGCCTAAAGTATGAAATGCAAAAGTATGTGAAAGAGAAGTTGGGCCTGCTCTCTAAAATTGCCTAGGGCATCTCAGTCTCTCATTTGATGTGACACAAAGAAGAAGATACTTATTTTTTTTATTCAAGAAGATCCTTGACAATTTGTGTGCTGTTCTAGGGCAATGGTTGGAGTTTTTGTTTTCAGATTGTTTAAGGTGACCTGCTGTGTAGCACTTTATAAAAGAGAAAACTACAGATTCTGACATGGCTTCATGTTGCTCCATTGCCTTTTTATTTACACAATAGATAAATCTATCTATTTCAGGAAGAAAATAAAGCTATCATGTTCTTTCTTGGTGATCCACTATATCTGAGTAAAGCTTAGTTAGGATAGTAAAATATAATATAGTAACAAATAATCATCAATTGTACTCGATTATATAAACTAAGACTGTATAATTGAATATACTCTATTCAACTTATCTTTATTGCACTTCAGCTCTTTGTCTGCATATGGACTGCATATGTTCTTTGAAGACAACCAGTTCGTGGAACAGAATATATTCTGCCTGATATTAAAATTTTAAAAGCCTGGGTGTTTTTCTGGGCTGGATGAGGCCTTTAGCTCATAATTCTTTTTGAAATTAAAGTAAGATGCTTTGTTTTTCAATTGTAGTCATCCATTCATATTAAGAGTTGTTTTGCTCCGTTTCTTGTAATGTTCATTTTTATATGCTACTAATTAAAACAATTTTTTTGAGCTGTTGCTATCTAAAATAGTAATTCTTCTGCCTTACATTTGGAAATGCAATCACAATCTTGAACAGACACATATTCTGTTTCCTGTAAATATGTATGACATTTTATATATAAAATGTGACAAACAGAATTCAAAACAGTTACCTATATAAATGTTTCATTTCTACTAACCTACATTCCCTACATACAAAGACCTGCTGCTTAATACTAAATGTAGCTATAGTTAGCATCGGTCATGACATTCAAATGTTTGCTTCAAGTTTTTGTGGGATTAATGTCTTTTACAGTGACATTTTCTATTTCTTTAAAAAATGTATATTTTATACTACATAATATAATTTCTATATTTCTTAATGGTGTTCCAGTGTGCCAAAACGATGAGGTTGATTTTAAACAAGCAGCAACGATCCTATGAAATTTGTGTATTGCCATGCTTCATATTGTTTTTTCACTTTTAAATAAACATAATATTCGGTAGCAAAGTCGTTTTTTCTTTTTTTACTTGTGTTAGAAACTTTGAGTACTTTTTCTCAGACGGGTTTTTGAAGTAATATTTTCATCTTCAGGTGCGTTCAAGATCGCTGCTTTCTTATTTAAATGTAATGCTAATAAAGTGGATCCTGTAACTTGTTCATACTGGTGAGTAGCTTTCTGACATAGCTTTGTTCTTTATAAATGCTTACTGCAGATATCTTTATTTAAGAGACACGTAATTCTCAAACATGAGTTTTAACATCAGGGTTATTCAAGCAAGCTGCTAGAGCTTGCAACTATCTTTGAAGACTACATTAAAAATTTGTTCACAATGAATACTCTCCACAAATTACATAAAAAGATGATGAACAGATAAGTTGACTACCTGGATTCTCCAGCCATTGAGATATTAATTTAAGTCACCGAAGAGACTGGAGTAGCTCTCAGGGTATGGCCTCTTGCTTCTATTGACTGTTGCCAGTTGACTGCTTTTCACCAGCACCACTCCCCAGTGTTCAAGATTTAGTTTGTATTGCAATAAGCAAGCTTGAGACATCCACAAGTCTGGATTTAATAAACCGATATCAAATTCAGCTGATGGCTAGTTGAGCTAATTCTTTTTTTTTTTTAATATTTTATTAGAGGCTCATACAACTGTTATCCCAATCCATACACACATCAATTGTGTAAAGCGCATTTGTACATCGTTTCTCAAAACATTTTCTCTCCACTTAAACCCACGACATTAGGTCCTCATTTCTCCCCTCCCTCCCCGCTCCCCCCTCTGTCATGAGCCCTTGATAGTTTATAAGTGGGTATTTTGTCATATCTTTCCCTGTCCGACGTCTCCCTTCACCCACTTTTCGGTTGTCTGTCCCCCAGGGAGTAGGTCACACACAGTTCCATGCAATTGGTTCCCTCTTTCCTACCCATTCTTCCTTTTCAAGACATTTTCTTTCCACTTGAGCCCTTGTTATCAGCTCATTTTTACCCTTCTGCCGCCTCTTCCTTACCTTTTATCGATCTTTTGGTTTCTTCATGTCATCCCAAAGCTCATCAGATCTAACATGAGCTTATTCTTGAATGAGCCTTTTTTCTGTAACTTGGTTGGCTTCCACAGAATGCTTTTTCCATTTGTCTGAAGGCCTTAGATACCAGAAGAGAAAAGAAAAAAACAAAAAAACTATGCATCCCAAGGGTTAAACCACGTGGGTCAGTACAGGGTACTTACTGTATGGCGGCATTCCCCATGGCGAATGCCTGCACTTAAGTGCAGTGTCTACTAAATGCATAAAAATGCAATTGATGAAACAATTTTGAAGGACTAAGATTAGTAGCCGAAAGAAAAATAACCATCTTTTCTAGTATTTTGCTTTATCCATAATTACTTCACGAAGCAACTGCTAAATGCAGGCAGTGGTGAAAAATGCATGGTCGGTGCACTGAGGGGCTGATCGTCTACTGTGTGGCCCAGACTTGCAAACAAGCAGAATCCACACCCTTGAGGACCGTAATGGACGCGTGTTTAGTGGTCTAGTGATATCAGAGTTCATTAGAGGTAATTTCAGCGGCGTCATTTCCAGTTCCGGTTAGAGATCTTTCACCAGCAGCATGTCTGTCCAATTTTGTCATGCAAGTACATCAGGCAGGTTGTGTTGTACTGCCCGACAAACACAGATGTATCTTCACCGTCATGTCCACAGGCTGAGTGCATGGGGGGTGCACTCATGGAGGTCAGTTTAATAAACAACACAGATGGAGGGTTTATTACAGTGCACATAGTATCCAATACATCTGAGATGGACAAAGAACGTGTTAAATGAATGTAAACTTATATGTGTTCAATATTCTACTGTGTTCTAGGGGACAAGAGAAACAAGTACTTCTCTATTGTCTTTGAAAGATAAAGCGAGTCAGTGAACAATAGTACCACAAATCTCGAGTATAAAATAAATGCAGATTATATTACTAGGAAATATATATGTGTTATTTTTAGCTATCACATGATAAGGTGCCAACCCCAACAATCTCCAGAGGATCAAGTTGAAATTCATCAGCAAGTAAAAGCAGGAAGATGAGGTGCTGAGGGGTTTCTTCTGTTAACATTTTAGAGCTGACCAGTCGGACTAGAAACCTAAGGAAGCGACTTCCTGCCTTTTCCCCGTTATTTTCCTGGTTGCCAGAGGTAGCTGGATGGCAAGTGTTGACTGCTTTGGAGGAGGTGGTGGACTGGCTTGGTGGCAGTGCCTCTACATCTAAAACTATCTAAGCACCACCACCACCCCAATTTTTAAAAATAACTAAATAGTAAATTCTAAAGCCATGTCTTGTAATTAGATATGTAACCGTTACTCATTGAATTTTCTGGCAGTTCTCACACACATGTAAAAGCATGTGCATTTTAATTGAATTGTTGTTGGGTTTACCTGGTGATTTACTGCCAGGCCAGATGGAGGCACAGCTCTGCACAGAGGGTGAAAAAAAGTCTCATGGGATTGGTGGGATACTGTGATCTGTAATCATATGGACACGCGTTGTGATGGTCCTAAGAGTAATGGATGTATTTTAGTGTTTCTTCTATGCCAGGCTTCATTCTGGTTCAAATTACTTTTCTTATATTAACTTTTAACTCATACAACAATTCTCTGAGACAGATTACTAAAATACCTCCCATTGTACCGATGAGAAGACGGAGGTGAGGTAGATCTGCAAAGCCGTGACTGACAGCTGGCTCCCGAGGCTGGGCTAGCCTTTCAACCAGGAGTCTTTCCACCTGTGTTATCTTTGCCTCTATGGATGTTAAAACGGAGATTCAGGAAAACAGAAATGTAGAAAAACAGTGGTCGATTCCTCATGTGTTTCCAAGTTCAGAAAATGGCTGGCTAAACCATTAAGCTCCAGTACGTTTTTGTCTGAGAGTGTGCTGTGTCCAGAAAGGTTTTCTTTTCTAGGCCTCTGTGGGTGCCTCAGAGGTGTTACCAGGGCAAAACTGTTCCTTATGTTGTTTCTGCTTGATGTTACCCACTGTCATGCGTGTGTTTAAAATCTGAACCTCAAAACAACAAGGACAGGTCTTGCTTATGGATCTGAAGTAACATTTTCCTCACAACCAAACACCATAATAGACAAACTCCTCTTAACTGACAATTGTCAACTTGAGGTTTTTTGGAGTTCGTCCTGGGTACAGATGTGCCCCTTCGAAGGATCCCTTTATCGGGTCTCTCCATCAATACTCCTCCTGGATGAGGCTCAAGGCTTTGCCGTCCACCTCTCCTTTGTGAGGGAAACCACATCCTCTTGCTGGCTCCTTCTCCATCGGGGAAGCCAAGGAAAGTGCCATCTGCTAGACAGAACTCCGATTCCTTTGTTTTTCTTTTTTGCTGCCAGTTCATTTATTTTTCTTCTCTTTAATCTTACTTTCTTATGAGTTCGAATTTTCACTTAAAGAGCTTTGGGTAGACTTCCTAGGTGTCTTACAACAAAGTGGTTTCAAGATTACATCATTTGCCATGTTGCCCAAGATGGACATAATGCATTTGTTAAAACAGCACATTATTTTGAAGATGAAATATTCATATCCAACCAAACCCAATGCCGCCGAGTAAATTCTAACTCACAGCGACCCTATGGGACAGAGTAGAACTGCCCCAGTGGGTTTCTGAGACTGTAACTCTTTACAGAAGTAGGACCTTACCCGCACATTCCGTCCCAGCACCCTACCCTGACTTTCTCCAGCAGATCAGCTGATGGTTTAGAACCGCTGCCCTTGTGGTTAGCAGCCCAACACAGAACGTAAAATTAAATAGGCCCCAAACCAACTGCTCTGCCAGCGTGACTCCGGGCGCTACAGAGTAGAACTGCCTGTAACATTTTGTATAAAAGCAGACTGCAGGGCTTGTCTTCAAGGTGCCCTGAGAAAGATATGAACTGCCATCTTTTTCATTCGTAGGAGAATGCAAACTGTTTGCCCCACTCAAGGGCCTCATACATAAATAGAGCAATCACATATCACTTTGAACCTATTACTGGTTTTCGGTCGCACTTAGCAGCGAAATGTACTCAGTTTTAGATGGCATCTGTTTCAATCATCATGAAAGACTCCAGATTCTCTCGCAAGATGCGTGGTGTTTCTAATACTGTGTCGTTAGGTAAACTTCCATCACCTAATATGGTGCCGGCAGCTCTTCTACAATCCAGGCACAGATCACTTTATTTGGGGAAAGTAGAGAAACAGCTTTTTCCTGAAATGTTTTATGAACATGTTTGCTCAAGTTATCTCTGCTAACAATCATAACACATGACTTATTTGAGTTTCAATATTTTCATTATAATAGAAGAAAATCATATTAGAGATTAGACAGGTTTTAGAAAGTCCTGATTATGCAGGGATTGGAAGGTGAAGGGTGCAAGGGAGAAGTAATTAGAATAAAAAAATCTTGTTTTGCTGGTCCACCCCCACCCCCACCCCCCAGTGTGTTAAAAAGAGGCTGAATAACAAATATTTGTCTGAGACCACTTTTTGAAAAAACGACTAAAATAAAGGTTCTCCTACAAAAGGAAACAGATATTGACATTATGGGTGGAGGCCAGGGTGAATCTAGCGAAGGGGACGGAAGGAAAGGAATAGGTTAAGGGTAGAGCTGCTCCCTTGGGTGGAGGAGAAGGTGAGCCTACCAGAGAGCTGGGCTGGTGGGAGGTGCTGAATACAAGTTCCCAAAAGGGGGCAGCACCCGCTCGGTATTTCTTTTCTAAAACGTGCTCCCTTTTTTAGCTCCCAATACTGCATTCAGCACGATGGAAACTAACAAAAGCAGCAACTAATCTACACCTTACTGAATGAACAGACTCAAAGGAGCATTAAGAACCATCTGCTCTTGATTCCAATGTACAAAGGAGGGCACTAGACGAGGTTCGGGACTGACATTGCACTGGGAGTTGGTAATAGCTTCTGAGACTCCTGTAAATGGTCTGTCGAAGAGAAAGAAGGATTTTTATCTCTGCCA